TGCTGCTACACATTGTTTTCTACCTGAAATAACTGCCTTGTCCATCCGTCCCCCTCCCCCCTCAACAATAAATCAGTGAATCATGGCTCAATCGAGCTAATCATATGGCAAATCTCTTTCAGTAGAAAAGGAAAGGCAAAAAGCAAAATTAATGCATACACTCAATTTTTCTCCAAGGCACAATTAATGGTACACTAATACTAGTAATGAAGGCAACTCCCCTTCAAGCCTTTTAGTCAAGGTTGTTAGAGTCATAAGGTTACAATTCTTTACAGGAAGGAAGCCCATGGATTCATATGCTGTAGAAGCTTACAGAAACAAATGCTTTAGTGATGAGGAGTGCAGTCCCTTCCTATTTGCTACTTCACAAGTTTTCAGGAGGAATAAACAAGGCACTGTTTTGCACCCACTGTACCGACAGAAATGTCACTATTGTCCGCAGGGTTTTTATTCCTGCTGCTTTTCCACAATAGCCCATCTCACTGTATACTTGCCGCCTTTGTCCAGCTTGACATTTGGTCCCACACGATCAAATAGCGTCTGGCCTGAGGTAGCAAAGTAGGAGTCGGTCACTTTTGTGTTTTTTTAAGCAGCTCCACTTGCGAACAGTATACAGCAAGGCATTTTGGAGTGCTGGAGGGTCACCCACTGCGAAAAGGAAGCGACGACCAACCCCACTTACACAGCCTGTTCACACACAGGAAGGTGCATTTACAAGGGGTCCTTCTTCGTACCATAAACACGAACCCTACAATTAAATAGGAACGCAAACCTGCTATGCAGTGAAATACTAAAAAGGCACATACTTCAATAGCACTCTGTTTCAAACAGCTTGGGTTAGCCTGAAAGGACAGGAATGGTGCGAAAGGCAGGTCATGGCTATTTCCAGAAACGGTGGAAGTGATTCGAGCCCCAAGACGCCAGGGCTTGGAATTTCCAGACACTAAGAATCGCAAATGTAAAATATATCCGGTGCCAAGGAGTTCACAGCTATCATTAATTCAACCACAAAAAAGTACATTTCAGGTAATATTAAAGGGCTGACTAAAAGCCACAATAGCAAGGAAATTGAGTTAAGGCTAAAAATCCATGTTGACACCTCAACTTTCAGACATGCTTCTGGGCAATGCAAATGCGGCATGATGGCATAAATGAGGTCAAAGTAATTTAACCCTGAAGCATCGTGTTTTTCTGTCTTCCACTTAAAGATACTTAGAATTTAGGAGGTTCATTAATTGCATTATCTTTTAATTTATTTTTGCAATACTCCTAAAAAAAACAAACCCACCTGAAATATTTCAGCAACCAGTATATGGATATGCATATGCCTAGGTATGCCTGATATATATTTATCAGACGTTGTATAGTCTCCCTAATTGCATGCACTTTGCCAATAGCTATTAGGCACAGTCAATTAAGCATGTAGTTAAAACACCTTAAATTGCATAGTGTGGACCACATCGTGTAAATAAATAATTAGTAAGTTATTAAAATGCAAATTCCTGACGTAAAGGAGCAATTACTGAAGAAGAAAGTATTTTAGTTCGTGGCTTATTGACCATATCAGCTCCCCCTAACTGTTTCCTCAGCACTGAAGTGAATGCTGCTGACACAATAGACCCAGCAATGATACAGTTTATTTTGGTCAGTGCCTAATTACTCAGAGCTTTTAGTTCCTAAGTTCTTGACCTAATGGGTTGTAATGGCTCACACAGAGGAAGCTTTCTGTCTGCTCAAATGATCTGAATAGCTGAGCTGCTCAGAATAACCTTTTGCTATATTTGGATGTTTATCACTCAAAACTGGGCTCACTTTTTTCAAATGTATTTTTCAAAGTCAATACTTTCTGCCCTAAGAGACAGCTTGAGATGAAATTGAGCCAGATTACCAGCTGATGGAAACTGGGAGAGCTCACCCCACTTCAGTGAGCTCCAGAGCTGAGGGTCTGCCCCACACAGCTTCCAAATTCAGCTTCATGGACTGTTCATTTTTGAGTGGTGTGATGGCGTTGCAGTTAAAGCACTTTGCTACAGCTTTTGAGGCAGGAGTTCAATCCCCGCTCTGGATGCATGTCATTGGCCACCTGCAAGCTGACCAGACTCTAAACAGAGACTTAATTATTCAGGCTGGATAATCAAAGGTGGCTAGAAATGATCCTAGCCACATCACTTCCCTGAGTGTTGTTGATTAAGAAACTGCTGGGCCAGCTACCAATTCTCCTCTGTTCAATCATCACCCATGAGTATCTCACTTCCAGGACTGTTAACAGGACCATTAGTTGACACAGCTGCTGCACAGGGCTTTTTTCAGTTGCTTGAAGGCCTTTAGGGTCCCAGGTAACTAGAGAACTGGGCCCTTCCATTTTCCTTTCATTTAACTTTGTTAACAGGGCAGCCAATTCTGAGAAGCTGGGTACAAATTTACAATAATAACTGGCTAACCCCAAGAAGACTCTTAGCTGTGGACTTTTGCAGGCCTTAATTGCCTCTACCTTATCCACCACCAGTAGGATGCAGCCTCGTCCAACCTGAAACCCCAAATATTTGGTTGTCTTCTTTCCTAAGACACACTTTCCTAGGTTAGCTGTTAGTCCAGCTCTCCTAAGTTCCCCCAATATTGCTTGACGATGTCTCAAATGTTGGTCCCAGTTCTCAGAGAAAATTTATAATATCTATATACACAGACATACATTTGGTCTGCATGGGGCCGCTGCCTCTTTTCAGCGACTAATGAATCAGCTATTGGCCCCTCACCAAACAGCATCCTTGTAAATTGGTACAATCCCTATGGTGTATTAAAGGCCATTTTTTCCCTATCTGCTTTTGCCATTGGAATTTGCCAGTACCCTTTAGTAAGGTCTAGGTGGATATGAATTTGGCATGTCCAATTTGTTCTATTATTTCTTCCACATGTGGCATCGGGAAGGCAACAAAGACCAAAAAAGTGTTAACTTTCAGGAAATCTATACATAACTGGATAGCCCCATCCAGTTTTGGAATTGCCACTATTGGACTATTATCACTCCTTTAAGCATCTGTTCCAATTCTTGTTTTACCGGGCCATACAGATGTCTTGAGAGTCTCCTTCACTGCTCATGAACCACATACCCTGGAGAGGTGGTGAATCCTATGTTCTGCCCCTTATGCTAATCCCAGTTCTTCTGTAAGCACATCCTGAAAACTTTCTACCAGTTACTATAACTGTTCTTTCTGGGTAGGGATGAGTTCTGCTATCATGGGTTTCTTTCCTTCTGCAGTTATCTTCCCACCAGGTCCAAGCCCCAAATCCTCCTGCTCTGGGTCTCTGAACCAACCCCTAGGGTTCTACCCACTGTTTGAGCAGATTTATATTGTAAATCTGCAAGTCTTAAGCATTTTCCTTAAAAGATGATTGAATCTCTCTCCTCAAGGCAATCTGTCTGGGGGTGGTACACTGATGTTCTTAGTTGTTTGATCTTCAAAGTCTCTCATACCCTTCTCATAACCCCCAACATAAAACTGGTCCCCTGGTCCATTATTATGTCTTGGGGCATCCACACTATTAGTTCTTCCATTATTTTAGGAGCATTCGCTGACCTCAAAGGAACGGTGTCTGGATATCTGGTAGCATAATCAATAATTACCAGCACAAACTGATTTCTTTTGGCACTCTTAGGAAAAGGTCACGATATATCCATGTCATCCCACTATATCTGTAACAAGTCTTCACCAGCTATCTCAGGTCTGTACCTTTTGGGATGTCTGGTGATTTTAGTAAGTGAGGAGACATCCTCAGGAGATCCCTCTTCACAGGTGACCGACACTCTCATACCCTTTCCTGCCATGATTTGATGGTATAAATTAAATTGAGAGGAAGAGTATGTGAACAAATCCAGTTTCAAGGTTCTCCTTCTGATCGTTCGAGGGCTCTGCCTTCCATTGAACCCCAGCCTGAGCTACAGTGTTAGGATGTTCGTGTTCTTGAAAACACTATATTGTTTGTCTTGGGTGAATCACTCACAGGTGACCCCAAATATTGAAAAGAAACACAATGCCAGCTTGTTAAGCACTCACAAGTGTCTCACTATTGAAATAAACATGAGGTCCATTGGCTCTGCAACCTCACTTGCCCCCAGGTACAGGTGCCAGTCCCATGCCACCTGTCTAGTCACTGTCCCCGTATGGATTCTGCTGAGTCATACCAAACAAAAATTAAAATTAATATTACATTCAGCACTCATCCAGCAAGTGTACTGAAGATTACTCTGCTGTCTTCACTTGCTGTATTCATTCCCTGATGCAGGGTCTCTGCAGCTTACCTCCTATTGCAACTCATCCAGCTGCTGAGGCTTTGCTAGCTCCCAGCCAGCACTGGTTAGAGCAGGACATTCCCCACGCCATGCTCTATTTACCCAACTCTGCTTCTCTTCTCTAGGCTGTGCTTTGTCTGCATGACTCTCTTCCCTTGGCTCCAGGATGGCTGTTTCCAGTTCTGTCCCAGTTCTCTCCAAGCTGTCATAGGAGGATCCTTTATGACTAGTGCCAGATCCCTTCCTCCTATCCAGAGGAAGCACCAGCTAGAAAAATGTTGCTTTGTGGTGGTGTCCGGCCATGGCAGTAGAGCAGCATCAGATAAGGAAGTCTCCTGGCTCATAGCTGCTCTAGCTGGCTCGGGGTACCTCTTCACTTCCTCACATATCCTGCCCCTCAAGATGCCACTAGGCATTCCAAGTAATCTATTTACTGCAATTCCTCTGTCTGGGCTGGGATCTATTTCCCCTTTTTTCTCACCGTGTCCCTGACTCTTCATCAGGGTGACAGTGTGGCAAGAAAGTGGCTACTGTATTCAATTTCCCCAGCCTGTAGGTAATGCAGAATTGAAATGGTTGCAATGCTAGTGGCCACTGCATAATGAGAGCATTGTCAGCTTTCACCGTATTCAACCATTTTAAAGGGGCGTGGTCCGTAACCAATTTAAATTCCCTACCCAACAAATAGTATAAAAAATAATCAACTCCCCACCGTATGGCCAAGCATCCCCAAGCTACCATGGAGTACTTCTGCTCATGGTCATTCGGCTTTCAGCTGGTGTAGCCAACCGGTCACTCCAGCCCTTCAGCTGCTTTTGATAGCACTGCTCCCAAACCTTCTCTGGACGCATCCATCTGCAAAGTAAATGGTAATGAAAAATCGTAAGTATGAAGTATTACTTCTTGACAGAAGACCCTTTTGGTGTCTTCAAAAGCCTTTCAGTGCATTGCATCCCATTCAATATGATGGGTTCACCTCCCTTTTATGGCATCAGCCAGAGGAGTTGTCACTTCAGTGAATTTAAGTATAAATCACCGGTAGTAACTAGCAAGGCCTAGGAAAGCCCTCATTTGTCTTTTATTTTGAGGCTGTCTATATGCCTTAATGGCCTGCACTTTGACAGCTAAAGACCTAATATGTCCCTGCCTTATCAGGAAGCCTAAATATTTGGTTTCTGCCTTACCTAAGGCACACTTCTTAGGGTTAACAATTAGACTGGTACCCTTTTTGCCCTCTTTATCAATGTGAAAACATCCCTAATGGTTCTTTGTAGTCTGCAGCAGTGGTAGTCACATGAGGCATCTTTCTTCCCTCCTGACAGCTGTGGACTCATTGTATGCCTGTCCAGCAGCTCATCCTCACCTTTTTGCTGACTCCAGGTAAGTCTCTTGGCTTTCCCCATTTCCAGGGGAAAAAACTGCCTGGCTACCCCTGCGTTCTCTGGTTTAAAGATGATCAGAACTCCCAGGGTCTCTTGGGAGTTTGTCTCCACTGTGCCAAGCCACAGCATGGAGAGTTTAACTGTTTCATGGCTGGTCCAATGTTCCCTCGGGGCCAAGTTTCCCTGTCAGATTCATCCAGAAGGGCAAGCACAGCAGAGGTTGAAGTAGACTCCCTGCTACAACCACCTTTTGACAAAGCCGTCTTTACTTTTACTAATCCTAGAATATAGGTCTGTGACAAATGTACCCTTGGGATCCTTAACTGGTCAAATCACAGTAAAAAATAAAATTAAAATTTAGCATCTGACTTTCCTCAGAAAATAAATCCTGGAAAATTGGGCTAATCAGGGATATTTAAAAGGTTCCTCCTTAACTCCAGAGCTCAATCAAATCAAAACAGCCTCACTCAAATCAAAAAAAGTTGGAAAACATATGTCAAAATGTAAGTGCCCAGTCAGAAACAGGTAGGGATTAGAGTATTTAGGAATGGGAAAGGAGATTCTAAACTCTAAAAAAGTTTAGCTTTACTGCCTCACATTTTAGCAAAGCTTACAAAATAATACCTTTCTGAGATGTGGATACAAGCAACTGGTGAGCTTTAACCACACTGGAACAGTGGGTTAGTGTAATCTCCCATGCCTCTCCCCTGGGCTTCACGTATGGGGGTTCCTCTTGGACATCGCCATTGTTTTTAGGAAGGAACAGTTGGTTATTGGGGTGACTTCGGGTCGGTTCCCCAAGGGGCCTCACCTGCCACGTTCTTGATGATAAATAATTTCTAGTTGGGAGGAAGGTGTTTGGTCCCATCTCCCCTGGTACCTGCCTTTGGTTGTTCCTGCTGTTCCTCCTGTTTGGGGCTCTGCCTCCCTTACACCTCGCCTAATGCCAACCATGATGTCATCACCTGTATTGACAGAGTCGATGTCCTGTACCTTCTCAGTGCTCTGGCTCTCGGAATTTTATTCTGAGGTTAGGGTTAGGGGCATTGTTCCTATCCCAAGTGCTTCTTGCTTTTCCTCCGTCTGTACATCATCTGGTTTTCTGTCCCCTGGAGTATCGCCTCTTTTCTGGGGTTGGTACTTGCTGTCAGTCAGCCGTGTCTGGATTCCTGTATTGCTGGGTCCTGCTGGACTCTGGTCTTCACTGCAGGCATCTGTTGTCCACAGCGACCCTGCAGGTAAATCCTCGGGCCCTCTCTGGCCCTGTGCTCTCACTAAGACCCCCTCCTGGGGTAACCACCAGGTCCCCTCACTGGGACTACCTGCCGGCTCTAGCCCCTATGGGCCAGTTGGGGACTCCACTTCCAGTCCCCCCCACTTGACTTCCGCCGGGTCTTTTATCCCAGCTCCAGGGATCTGGACGACCAATAAGTTCCGGCATGCTATTATAAAGCGCATTCATGCCAACAAGGGAGCCAACCCTGGCTCCTTTGGGCTCGGCCATTTTTTTTGCCTTTTTTCTATTTCCCATGGCAGCTCTGCCCACCGCAGTTTCACTTTCACAGCATTCAACTTCCGGTATGGCATCCCACCACCTCCACTCCTCACCTGGTAAGTCTTTTCCACAGTTAGACTAGGATGGATTCCCTTTCATCTTGCACACCCATTCTTTTGCACGTAACTGGACAGCCTGGCAACACTTACCCAATCTGCATATGCATAATAACTATAACAATGCATGGCTCTTATTAACATTTGTGCACCAGGATTGCAATCATGAACAGCTATGCATTCCTAGCTTGAGAGAGCTATATTTTCAAGCAAAACCAAAGTCCTGGCAGTGTTTTATTTCAGTATTGCTTGTATCCTCCCTAAGGCAAAATACACCCCATGTGGTTGCCCTTCCCAACTCCACCTGGCCCTGATTCATCAATATATTTTAGCACATGTATAAGTCCACTGTACCTACTTGAATCCAGGGCATAGGTATCTGTATATACTTTCCCCTGCCTCCTAGTATCTACAACATAGACCCTTCATATTTATATAATTACTATTTGGGTTGCATTGTTTCTTTTACTTGGTTTTATGGTCTACGAGATCCACATTATTCTCTGAATCCAGGAGTTGTGTTTGTTGTTTTGTCTGTAGTAAAACTAAATCCAACTTAATTTTATAAACTAGAGAAACCGCAGCCCTTTACAACATGGCTAGTATAGCAGTACGCAGAAGAAAAAACACTTTTACTACAAAATGTATTATTTGCCATCAGCTCATCTGGCTCTACCCACATAATAGCTAAACTATGACCTATTAACATTTGCTTTCCTTTGCAAGAAGGCAAGTTATGTATTCTAAACTGCTAGGTTTTTTTCAGCTATCAGCAAAATAAACAACATCCACCATTCAGATTACATATTCTATTTTCAACATTCCTGAAAAATTATCCACAAAAAGGCTTAGGAAGAAAATGACATTTTACAGTCTCTTGAAACCCTTTTTTTAAAGATGTGTGGGGAAATTCTTACGTATTTTCCCCATAACGATCTTCATATTTTTACTGACCTTGACCACAACTTTGTTGCAATAACTTTCTTCTGGTTCTGTGTTCTTTGCCATGACTTGGCTAGGGTTGACTATAAAATAAAAATTAGAGGAAAAGTTACAGTTTAGAATATGTTCCTTGTTACATTATACATATAAAAGTAATTTTTACAAATCACAGATTGCAAAATTTATTCCCCCCCCCCACCGCCCCCAAAACTCCATAGGGACTGCAATACTGTAGATGGTTACTATGGTATTATACATGCCAACAAGAATGTCCATTGATATACTGCTTTATGCATGCCCTTTCACAACATCTGATGAAGAAAGCTTGGGCTCACAAAAGCTTGCATTATACACATGCACACTTTTCTTAGTTTGTACCTGCTTACGCTAGCTCAGTAGATGACATGCCAGTCGCAACTGCTCCACACAAGCTCAACTGCTTGACTACACTAGCAGCCTGGTCCCTCGAGCATTTTCCCTGGGAAGTGGAATCTCCCTCTACTCACCTGCCACATCTTGATTTTAACAAAGAAGAAAAAGGAGGTTCCAAAATAGGTGATACACTGCCCTTGGGTATGTTCTCATTATGAGTGTTTCTTGGGGCTCCTCCTCCCCTACACCCCATCCACTCACAAGCTGGGTCTAATCAATTTTATGGTCTGCATTATTATGGGTAGGTGCAACCAGCAGCTTCAAGATCACTACCCCTTCAATGAGGCAAGATTGTCCTGATGAGAAGGTTACATGTGGTTGCCTCCGCCACTCTTAGGGGTTTAATAACCCTGACAGGCATTTTCAAAGTCAATTTGCTAATCCAGTAGACTTTCAGCATTAATTTTCAAATCAAGTAAATTCTCCAATTCATTTCATAATTCACAAAAGACCTTAGAGTCCAGTCCAAAGGAAATATTCGTAATTCATCTACCCGGCCCAGTCCTTGGACCCTAATCTCTTCAATACCAAATGTAATTAAGTCTGAGTAGAAAGGCCAAATCCTCGCCAGTAATTTCTTCTCAAATTTTCCAAAATAACAATTGTGCCTTCAAATTAATTTATCTGTACAAATAAATCAATACATCAGCCACTTATGACAGAACTGGGCTCTTAAATTAATATGTACAGATAATCCTCTAACTTCTCAGAGTATTGCAACATGTAATTAGTCCCCTAAGGGAGAAGCAAGCCAAAAGAGAAAAAAAGAAAGATACAATCCCAGTGCTTGCAGTCCTGTGCAATCGGGATGCCCTACTCACTTGCCCTTTATACCCTCCAGTCTGTGTACAGGGTCCCGGATGGCAGGGGAGAGTGGGGCAGGGAAGCTTGGTGCCATTGCCTCAAGCTCTGCGCCACCATGGTGAGGCACCCCCTGCCCACCCAGCAGCAGTGGGAAGCACAACTTCATACCCCCACCCCCACTGCTACCAGAGATGTGGGTCTTAAGGCAGCAGGATCGAGTTTCCCCACCTGGCCCCACTCTGCCCTGCTATGCTGGGTCCTGCCCTCTGGGCTGTGGAGGCCCCCAGGGGAGGGCAGCAGGGTAGGGAGTCTCAGCCTTAAGCAGGCAGCCTGCCCCCACCCCATGCTCAAATCTCAGGCATACATCCCCTCATGTCCCCTCCTGGAAGTGTATGCAGAAGCAGGAAACTGTCCCACCACCCACCCTGAACAAGCCACCTACAGCCCCATCCTAGTTCCCAACTGAGCCCTGCGACCATGCATTCCAACCCTGGGCCCCAAGCCCCACAAACTGCCTGCAGTGACCCTTATAACCACTTTCAAGCAAACTACTGGTAGAGGTCTCAAGTGTAACCCCAAAGCAGGTTCACTGCCATATATGCAACTTTGGCACATGTTAATAGGACTGGATGGGTGGGGCATGCTTGGGAAAGTCCCTCCTGAGCAGCATCAGGAATGAAGGAAGATGTACTCTATAAGTCATTGTTATCTTTTAAGAGCCGCATTAGTCAGCAAAGAAGAGTTCACAGAAACCCATGTCATGTATTTACATTTGTAAAACCCAGAATGTTTGTTCCAAGAAACACTTTTTGCAAATAACTTTATTTATAACTTGTGCACAAGGATTCCAGACACAGGTGGCCTGTAAATTCCAGAGGAGATTATTTAGAATGGAAATTCTTTACCCCCCCCTGCAAAAACAAAACAAAACCCCACACTAAGATACTACTGTACTAACTGGTACCAATTGTTAGTCTTGGTAGACATGAACTCATTTTTGCTTTGACACTAAGATAATACTCTGTGATTTCACTGTGAAAACATTATCTACTCTTGCTTTTTCTACCTCCATAAAGTTTTACAAGCAATAAAATGGCCCAGAGATCAGCTATCTTCCTTTTGTTGCCTTTGTGTGTTTCCTTTTGATGCCTAGTGCACAGAAACTCCCTGATGAATTATTATAATGAACCTCCACTTGATTAAGGTATCTAATCTAAACTGCAAAGTTTGGGATATATATTGGCATTAGGAATGGTATATTTGTAAAAGAGGACTATTCCCACAAAGGTTAAATTTGGATTAAAAGCAGTTTTGCTTTCTAGGTTCCGGATACTTTCTCCTTGGCATCTCTTATCTGATCCCTTCCTCTTGGTGTTGAAAGCCCATCCATGCCCACTCTCTTGGAAATGCTCTGTTATGTTCCACAGGTGACATAAAAGCACAAGATCAGAAGGAGGCTACAGAATTTGAGAGATATGTCTTTCTAGTTGTTGTACAGTGAAAGCCCTCAAGAAGGGGGAACTTGGGCTTTCCATCCCAAACAAAGCTGTTGAAGGTGCACATTGCTTCTTGGCAACCCGTACAAAGTAGCTTTCTCCAACTGGTTTCATTTCCTTACTTAAGAAAAAACAGTACAATTAGCTACTTAATTTCTCATGCCCGCTACAATGCATAGGCAGTGCTGATTGATTGGTACGTTACAGACCTTTCTCATTCTTTAAAAAGTCATTTTATAGGTATTTTGTCAAGGGGGGCTGGGGAGGGAAGGGGTTACATCCTAGGGAAACTATTAACTTTCCTCCATTGGCCTGATTCATCATGACTCGATCCCTCCAGGTTTACCCACTGAATTCAGTGGAGTTTACACCATTGTAGAACTGGACTCATGTGATCTGGCCATTAGTGTCCAAATCAAAGTTTTCTATAAAGTATGCTAGCTCTATTAGTCACTTCCCCTCTTTTTTCTTCGGGACCACATAACAGGAAGTTAGTAACAATGTGACAATGTGCAATTAAGTTATCAGCCACTAGGTGACTCAGTACTATATTATATTGTATTGTATGCACTTACCCTCTTGGTTTGCTTGAATATAGTTCTCTGTAAAAAACTACAGCCAAAACAATGTCACCTGAGAGCCAAATTGGAAGGGATGTTTCAGATGATGTAATTCAGATTTCTTTTGACTTGCATACCCTACCTAAAAGTGGGTACAACCATGCAACCAGGAGCCATAAGGAAGTGTGAGTTGAAATTAGCCCCCATGCCTCTTTGGTTTAGACTCGTTTACTACTTCTTGCAGATCTTTGCTGCAGATGAGACTCCTTTCTGCTGCAGTGGGAGCAGGTGTGATTTGGACTACAGGATTTGAACTGACTTTGGCTTTCAATTCAGGTTTGAACCCAACTGTCAAACCTTATGATCATTACATTAAAATCATATTTTATTTGTTCAGATTACTGTAGCACCTGCAATATGGCAGGCATTGTCCAGCCAACTAAATGGGACACAGTCATGAAAGGGATATTTCAGTACAAATTCATACATTGTCCTAGGTTATTGCCCAACTGGATGGAGATTCGCTCAGAAGATTTACCATTCTGGATAAACTTTCACTGACCTGGGCTGAGTTTCAAGTGTATAATGGAATCCAAATGCAAAAAAAAATTCACGTGGGTTTGCAATTCTTAGGAAAAAAAATAACAAAAAAGTGTAGCTTTACCAACAGCTGACCTCGACAGCCCATGCTCTCTGAATTGATTGCTTTAGCTACTGATATTGCTGTGCGTGCAGCATGTAAACAACTAGAATATATGGTGGCATTTTACTCTACACATGAGAGATGCTCACAACATGAAATTCAGGCCAATTGTATATATCTGTAATGGAAGAACAAATGGGTTTCATGCATGGGAAAAATGGAATCTTCCTTTCAGATGGAGGCTGGTCCTCTCTTTTCTTGCCACTACTACTATTACAGCTAATGAAAAGCAGCAACAACCCACAAAAAGGGGATGAATTCTCATGACTATAAGTATAAACCAGTGTTTTTTCAACCTTTTCTCCACTTGTGAACCCTAAACAATTTTGAGTGGTAGTGCGGACCCCTTTGAAAATGTTGAAACAGCCTCAAAATGAAATGAGGGCGGTTAAAACATTTCAAAATTTTCAAAATGTTTCAAGTTTCAAAGCTCAAGCTGGGCTTGCCTGCAGCAAAACAAAGTAAGGAGAGGGAGGGGGAAGAGGTGGGAAGGATTGCTCTCATCTTGGCTGTGTAGCTGGCCAGTGACTGTGGTCCTTCCCTGAGGTCCCTTCCAATCCCAGTGGGGGAGGGATGGAAAAACAGCATAAAAGGCAGCGTTGTTTGAACTGGCCTGCTTTCTGCCTTGGAGTATGACAGTTACTGAGCTGTGTCTTCCAGCAGCTCAGGAGTGTTAGACAATGAAGGCTACTACTAGCATTGATTTGAATGATTTCCTACTTGCTAGCCAAGCCTAGCAAGTGGGATTCCAAAATACCTTTTTCTTTCTTCTAGACCCTTTTATTTTATTATTATATTCATTGATTTATTCTTTTCAATGTTATAATTATATGGATATTACACTATAGAATTAATATAGGAAAGGAGATACATTTATATTTTATTTTTATACATTTATACCTTGCAAGATAGATTACACAGCTTATAGAATATATATAGGAACACAGATACCTTTATATATTTGTATAAAAACAAGACACTATGAAACACACCATGAAGCGTGGTGTAAAAGCAGCTGGCAAGCCTTCAGGGAGGGGCAGGAGAGGGGGTAGAGGGAGAGGTATAAGTTCTCACCCCCTAAACTGAGA